GACATGTTTTTAAAGACGTTTTCCACTTTCCAGACGTTTCATCCTATTGTAACAGAGTTAAGCAAGTTGAGCCATTTAAAAAATTTTGTATGTTTGTTGCCAGTTTCTAATCTGATTTGAGCATATTTTGCAAGATATAAATTAACAAATGCACTGAATACATTTGAAATATGGCAAGTTCTATCCTAAAGGCAACTTAAGAGCCATTCTTTTTCGACACGTAAACATTCGTGCCGGTCATTGTTGTACTTCAGATGACAACAAAAAAGAGTAGACGAGGAAGAGAGAAGCGTTAATGATGTTCAACTGACGCCAGGCAGGCAGGCAGGCATTCAACCAGCAGACACATGTGCTTCTCTCTCTCAACACAACCAATTCATCGCTTGCAAGTGAAGTGTGCGTTTTAATATGTGCAGCGTAGCCTGTTTTCCATACAAAAATTCTAAAACTGGCTAATACAATAAGAAAAAATTATTATATTAATATTTATTCATAATAATTTGTTTGTTTTGCGCGTTTAAAAATATTTTCAAAATGGAAAATAAATGGAATTTACGATGCTGAACGCTATAAACCGGCCGAACACTTCCCAACTCACCATCATAGTCTGCCTGCTTAGCATGCAGGAATATATAACTAAACTCCGAATAATATCATTAAGTCTTTGCCGACAGGAACATTCATATGCTAATAAGATGCAGGAGCGATATTTGGAAAGATTTTTTGCAGCTTGTATTGCGTAGTGTTATTCACATCCAATTACGTCGAACACCGATCTTCCGATATATTAAAACCTCGCCACACATCATGCACGAACGTGAAACAAACGAAAAGAAAGTTTGAAAATGTATGGAAATAGCTTTGAAGTGCTCTTCCGTTCGATACCTCTTACTGACTGCAATGAGTAGTTCAATTTTTTTTGGCGAATGTGTGTTAGCGGTCAGCCAGTGCACCGAAATGCCTATGTTATTAACGCTAAATTATGCAACAACCTGACGGCTCGTTTGTTAATCGCAAGTTGATGTTTCCAGCAGAAAATTAAACAGAATAATTTCTTAATCATAACCCAGCAATGAACGAAAATATTCAAACGAACCATTTCAAATAAAACCGATGCGGTTTCACATCGATCAAGCCGCGGTTACAAAAAAATTATGAAAAAACCTTATAATGCTTATAAAATATTACATATATTATAATTTTCCTAGGTAGGTATCTTCATCCATCCATCCTTTATTAAATCTACTAACCCCTATGCACAAATATTGCATTAATGTAAGAGATTTATTACGCTACACCACTTAAATGAGACGCGGAGGAACTACATTACACACACACACACACACACCACACACACACAAACACACACAAACAAATATCTATTGACACACCTGTTTAGTTTTTTCTTATAGAACCACTAACCTTCATTTTTTCTAACTGCTTCTCAGTCACTTACAAAGTTTGGGCTATTTCTCAAAACTTAATTGTTTGCAAAATTTGATAAGAAGCACTGCTGAATAATACCAAAACGTCGATTTGTGTAATGCATGTTTGATTTCAAAACTGTTTTCAAGATCTTTCCACATTTATCTCTCACACTACTATTTTGTTGTTCCGGTCTCTAACGAAATAATCTCCCACTTGAACATCCAGCGGTCAGTTCTCTCTACTTGAAAGCACGCACGACACATGCGCGGAGATCTGCATGCATCAAATTTTATTTCCATCTTGTCCTCCAGTTCGTCCGGTATGTCAGTGAAATTAAAAAAAGTTTCCAGTAGAGCGTTTGGTCCATCCAAATCACTACACACCTTATACACCCACATAAACACACGCACGCACACACACGCACGCACACACTGCACATACACCAACACTACATACACACAACTCACACACACACACACACATATACATATATATTTATATTCATATATATATATAATATATAAATATATATAAGCATGCATATGTACTTGTACATGCGTCATTATATTTATACAAATGTACAATGCATTCATATACACGAGCCGGCAACACACATATTGATTTTTATTCTAGCTCCACAATTTGGCATCCAAAGAAAGCTTGTATATAAAATGCGTGTGTACGTGTACGCAAGATTAATACTGGTACGTTTGTATGTGTGTGTGTGTGTGTGTGTGTGTGTGTGTGTGTGTGCGCGTGTATTTGCGCGAAAGTTTTGGCTTTTGTAAAATTTTATTTTCTGCTTGCGTTTAAACTTTTATCGCACCCGCTACTGAAAATTGAAAAAAATGGTTAACGAGAATGTTTGAAGCCACAAAACAATACTATCAGCATAGAGGAGAAAAGTTGAAGATGAATAATCATCACCTGTTTATCTCTTTTGTTTAAACTGCTACTTACAACACAACCATTTGTTAAAACAACATCTTCAAACAGGCAAATCAATAACAAAATTCACGCATATATTTATTTATTTTCTTTATTATTATTTAAGTTATGATGTTTTTTATATATATTTATATATCTATATGTTCAAAAGGTGCATGCACGTACAAGTAGATTGCAAATTTGTAATATCAATTTTCAGCCTATTGTTATGGTACGTTGTGTTTGTTTTAAATGACATGAATTGAAAAAAAAACTATTTCACCAGGATATTTTTTTGCAACATTTAAACATTTATTTACTTATTCTAATTCATTAAAATTAACTTCGAAATTGTTGCTACTACAACACTCAGAGCATGTTCAATCGCGTGTACAATTTTTTTAAATGTAAAGTGTCGTTATTCAATGACCGCGGGGAACGTTGGAGAAAGAACGGCCAACATTAGGGCGATGTTCGTCTGCCGCTCAAGAACATTAATAATAAATTCGCCACTGCTAATTTATCAAAAATGTAACACTATTCTGATGAGAATGATAGTGATTAGGATGATGAAGATGATGGTATCTGATTATAATGGCGATTAGGATGATGAAGATGATGGTGTCTGATTATAATGGTGATTAGGATGATTAAGATGATGGTGTGTGATTATAATGGTGATTAGGATGATGAAGATGATGATGTCTGATTATAATGGTGATTGTACGAAAAGATTGGTTAATATATGATTTACTGAAGTATGTTTTATCCTGCGAATTGTTGCGCGAACTGTTGTATGAATTGTTGGATGAATTGTAGTGGAAATCGTTGCATGCATTGTTGTATGAATTGTTGTGTGAGTTTTTGTAATTTGTACATAGATTTTTGTTACTTTAATTTACAATAGGTTATTTTGTTGATGTAAGAGTTGATGTATCTGGTGTGTTTTTCCAATGGAATAAATAGATTTTAAATTGAATATTTTGAAAATCAAATATTACGTTGGCCCTCCACATGTGTGTAATGTGTAAATATATTGCAAGAGCGTTTTCAAATGAATATGATTTTGACTTGACGAACACATAACGCCAATAAAATGATCTGATCTGACGTCATACAGAAACCACGTGATTTAAATAAAAATATATGGATCAAACTAATATCAGATGATGATAAAACTTCGTGTGGATTCAACGACTTGGTAGGATCATAAAATGATGGGATGGTACTAAATATGCACCGAGAAGTAGTTCGGAATGTTGCTGATGGAATATGATGATGATGAGTTAGGATGAGAACTATTGATCTAATCGAGTGATGTTACGAATACGATCTCCGTGTTTGTACATGCGCAGTACACAGCTCTTGGATGATTTATTGAGATCATGTGGAAAGATTGCCGGCTTTAGATGAAGATTGAAGGAAAATTGAAATAAGTGTAAATGGATTTAGTATTGGAGAGTAAAGTTGGTTTAGATCATCTGATCTGATGATGAATAAATGTCTTAATGGAGCGATGTGGTGATATGGTGACGAGTTGATGCGATGTTGAATTGATGTGATGATGAATTGATGGGATGATGAATTGGTGTGATGATGAATTGATGTTATGATGAATTTAGGCGATGATGAATTGATGCGATGATGAATTGATGTGATGATAAATTTATGCGATGATGAATTGACGTGATGATGAATTGATGTGATGGTGAATTGATTGATATTATAAAAGAGTGACGTAATAAAGAAGTGATGTGTTAATACGATGACGGGTAATGCGATTGTGATTTTGTTGAATAATTTTAATAGGACAAATGTATTTTATTCAACTTTTGTGCTGCAAGAATATAATAACATAATATTCTACCTTTTTTTATTAAATTTTTTTAAAAAATTCGACAAAAAAAATTAGACTGACTTTTAAAAATTTAGAAACAGTTGATCAAACGGAATTTTGCATAAATAATTTTGCTGCAATTTTTTTGCAATTAGTATATAGGTAATGCCGAGTCACTAACAAATGCCGAGTCACAAACAAAAACGTAGGGGAGAGTGGGGATGGTTGAGACAAAGGGTTGGATGGGACAGGTCAATAATAAGAAAATTATGCGCTTTAAGGGTACTCTTTTAGTTTATCTTTGTCGAATATCATGTCATTTATGTTTATCTAAAAGCGGATCAAATTTCATGCACGTTTTTAGTTTTCGGACTGTTTTTGGACCTCGAAAGTAAAATTTAGGTGATCACATTTTTTCGTTTTATTTTACATTAATTTTGTTTTTTTAAATACACTTTGCTATTATTAATTTTATTGTTTATTTAGCGATTCTTCTCGTATAATATTGTCACTTAAACAATGACAATAAAAAAGTTAATAGAACTTTTATAACCTAAACCTCAGTTGGGGATGGTTGAGACAATCATTTAAAGGGTTGAATGAGACATCTCAATCAACCCTGAATAATTAATTATTATGTGTTTTTTATAACTCTTTACCTTTTAGTTATATAATCAGTAAATATAAATTTAGGTTGGTTTGTATTAATTTATCTGATAAATTAATTGAATAAAACATAAATTATTTATGTTTTTTTTTATCTATTTTTATTAGCATTATTTAAATTATTATATTTATTTTGGAAGACATGCCACGAACTCATATTCGAAAAACAGAAAGAGGGAAGTATAGTTTGGAAATTGTACGCAAAGCTGTTCTAATAGTAAAAAATGGAGAAGGGTTGAGAAAAGTGGCCAAACAGTTTGAGATAGACAAAACTACATCATCCCGATATGTTAAGAGATTTGCAAATAATGAAAATTCACCTATGATTGGTTTTTGGGGAAATCGTAGAGTTTTCACATTTGAAGAAGAATTGATTTTTTGTAATTATTTAATTACATCATGTAAGATGTATTATGGTCTGACGGCAATGGAAATGAGAAAACTGGCATATCAAAAATATAAGAATATAAGAATAATACTCCAGATAATTGGCATTCAGGACAGATAGCTGGGAAGGATTGGTTTGATGGTTTCTTGAAACAAAACACGCAAATTTCAATTTGAAAACCAGAAACAACGTCAATGGGAAGAGCGTCTTGTTTTAATACAACAAATGTTGCTGCTTTTTTTTAAATCTAGAAGACGTAAAGGCTCGTCATAATTTTCTAACGAATAATATTTATAACATCGATGAAACTGGTTGCACAACAGTTCAAGGTGCGATAAAAGTTTTATCACCAAAAGGACAAAAGCAAGTTGGAGCAATTAAGGGTAGTGAGGATCGAGGCAAACTGGTTACAGTTTGTTGTGCTATTAATGCCATTGGTCAAGCAATACCTCTGATAATGATTTGTTATTCAAATTACATATTTTAAGGTAAATTCAAATCAATAATTGTTTTTCAAGTTAAGATGTTCCATTCAGACACCTGTGCTTCTTCTCTTGGATAACCATGAATCACACTTGTCTATAGAAGCGATCGATTATGCCATGAACAACGGAATAGTTATGCTCAGTTTCCCTCCTCATTGTAGCCACAAACTACAACCTCTTGATCGTACTGTTTACGGTCCATTTAAAAGGTATTACAACACTGCATTAAAAGACTTTATGATTAATAATACTGCTCATCGACCAGACATTTATGATATACCGGGACTGGTGGTAAAAGCATACAAAAGTGCAATGACGATTGAAAACATCACTTCCTCATTCAAAGTTACAGGCATTTGGCCACATAATTCAGATGTTTTTGCTGAAGAAGAATTTCTGCCATCCAAAGTAACTGATAGATTCAATGGTGCACCAGATGAAACATTGACGGATTGTGAAGCTGTGAATCCTAACAGTTTGAATAATTTAGAGTCTACAGATCAAGTTTTTTCACAGCAGGATAGTGCCTACAAACCAAGTGAATCATCAAATCCCCAATTGAATTACACTATTGAAACTTGCAAAAATGTTCTTGATGAGATCGCTACAATATTTAAACCTGAAAACGTCAGGCCATTTCCAGTTGCTCCACCTAGGAAACTGAAAGGTAAACACCCCAGGCCAGGTAAAACGAGGATTTTAACAGATACTCCAATTAAAAATGAAATTTCTCAAAGACAAGAAAAAAGAAGACAAAAAACAGAAAAAAAGTAAAATGTGAAAAGAAAAGTCGCAGGCAATTGAAATTTTCAAGCAATTCTGGCAAAAAAAATAATGGTGATGATGATGATGCTCTGTTTCTTTATTGTTGCTCTTCATGGTCTTCTTCTACAAATGGTGAAAGCTGGATTAAATGCCAGGGAAAATGTAAAGAATTGGCACATACTGCTTGTGCTGGTATTTCAAAGACAGAACAAAATTTTGTTTGTAAAAAATGCAATTTGAAATAAATATTTTGTCGAAACTTTATTTTTTTCAAATTAATTTTATTTGATTTTGGTGAAATTTAATAACAATTTATCCTATAATATTTTCTAAATAATATGTCATAAAATGTTTTCTTGCTAATAACTTCTGCAAGCCATAAAACAAAAGCAAGGAATATTAACTTTTGAAATATCAATGAGTTAAATGGTGTCTCAAGCATGACTCCTGCTGTCTCAACCAGTACAGTAGCAGGGATGGTTGAGACATTTAGGTACCTGTAAAACTTTTGAAACTGTCTTCTAGAATGACTCACAATGTTGCATGAGGTTATAAAATCTTATTCAGTAGACCCAGCTCTAACTAAAATGCTAAAAAAGTGTTTAATGATGAAAGGCATTACATTTTGTTTACGTTTGGACGGAAAGTGTCTCAAGCATCCCCACTCTCCCCTATACACACACAGAGGGGCGGATCATGGAGGGGTTGGGGATAATACGAAAAAGCACTTCTCCTTATCAGACCATGAAAATAATTGATTAGCCTGTGTATAAAAAAAGTTCATAGCTTGAAATTTGAAAATCACCAAAACGGGAATAAGCAGAAAAAAGTAGTTCATTTCAGAATCCTACAGAATATTTTTATAAGATCAACCTAGATTTATGAGAACGTTTCAACGGTTCTCTTAAGTGTTTAATTAAAATAACAATCTCTGGTAAACAAGTTTTATAAATTAAATTATTATAAGTATATTATTTCTATTTGTAATTACATTTTTGATTGCTCATTGTCTAGCTCGCCAATGTTTCTTAAAATGTCGTAACATGCCACATGAATTAGATCAAATAAAATATTATCACCAATCCCAACATTAATTTTAGAATTTTTAAAGATGTCGTTGGCGAAGTTTCATTCATTTTATTTGGATAGCTGTACGATCAGTGCTTTTGAGTTTGACTCATGTGAAAATAACACATTCATTTTTGAGTATTAAACATTAACTAGTAAGTAGGTGAGTAGACTTTACAAAGAAGTGTGATTAAAGAAGTGTCTATGTAGTTATTATAAACTACAAAGCGATTAGCAATGATATTGGCAGTTTGGATAGCACAGCACACATCTAGATGATGAGGTTGATGGGTTTGGGCAAATTGTTCGTCTGTTGTTGTTCAAATATTTGCTAAGGATGGATAGTGCGTTCGTGTGTTTCGAAATGTCATTGGGTTTATTTAATTCACGCTTGTACCTTTGTATGTATGCGCATGTTTGTTTGTATGTATGTTTGTTTGTATGTATGTACAATTGTATGTATGTTAGCATGTTTGTATATATGTTTGTCAATAAACATTAAATTTGTTTGTATGCTTGTGTTTGTACACGTTTGGTTGTACGTTTGTATGTTTATGTATGTGTATTTGTTTGTGGGTTTGTGTATTCATTCATTAACAGTTTTGCATGCATTCAATTTTCGCGTATTCACGACACAACATCATTCTGGTTCATTCTTTTCATCCAGATATCCGCAGCATATCGCTCCGATGAGAGTACACTTTCTGTGTAGTAGGAGAACATTAGCATTCATCATCGTCCTCATCTCAACTCTCTGTATACAGAATTCACTGCAAGGTTCGTTAAAAACATCTTCTATTACTGCACTAATATAGCAGCTCTACATACTTCAAATGTCCTCTATATACTGATTTTTTGCGATTATCAAATTATTGTTTATATTGGTTGGAGAAAAAAATAACAACGATTTCATATTACAATCATGAAAAAATTATTTCGGCAGAGTTTTTTTTTATGTGAGATTTGAAGAAAAAAGAAGCGTGGCTGTTGTTTATTGCGAAGGGTGTGCAAAAATTAACCAAACATTATCAACTTTGAAACAGTTCTTAGAAGAAATTTATATAGAGAATTTTTTCAAAAACTAAATACACCTGTTATTGTGGAGAGGCTAGAGTCTCAGACAGAGAACCATCTCTTGTCTAAACCTTTCTTATGAAATGTATAATTTCATAAATATAATTTACGGTCGATTGAAACTTTGAAATTGTCAACAGGAGATTTTAATGAACGTGTGCTGATTTAAATTTGGACCATAAAAATGACTGAGAGTTAGGAAGTATTAAATTATCCATCCAATTATTTTTCATTTTTAAACATATATTCATCCATCCATCCATCCATCCATCCATCCATCCATCAATCCATCCATCAATCCATTCATCCATCAATCCATTATTTTCTTCTTTTTTCTTTTGCGTGGCATCTCCATTTGAAAGATCTTCAAAGTAAAGGAAGCGCATACCATTTTAACGTGCGTGTGTACTTTAAATTTTAGTTTAAATTTAAATATTAGTTTAAATTTTGTTTATTTACATTTTCTAAAATTCTTTCTTTTTTCTCCGCAATTTCTTTTTGAATAAATTGTGTAAAGCTGTTTAATTATGCATTGCACTATCATTACATATCTATAATAATTATTTACTGTAAAAGAGGACTAGCCTTTTTCAATTACATTTTGCGTCTATATAATTTTTCATAATTTCTATCCATCTTCATTTTTAATATCTCTACCGTCGTCCGTTTTCATCATTTTATCAGCATCAAAGTTTTCAAAATAACCTTCCAGCGTTTACTTTTCAATAATTTTTCACTTTTTAATTTGTTGTCATCTATTTCATCCATCCATTTATCTACCTATCCATCTGCCCATTTATTCATCCATCTATCCAACCATCCATCCATCCATTTCAACACCCATCTATCTATCAATTTCCCTACCATCCATCCATCCATCCACCCATCTTTTTTTTACAATCTCAGTTGAAGAGAAGTATTGTTATGACGAGAGCTTCAGAGTGGCCTGCAGTCGCGACGATGAGGTCATCGTGTTCAGAGACGCCACGTTCGGACAGATGGACGGCCACCACTGCATCAAAGGCGAGAGTGGGATAACGAAGGGATGTCAGAAGAGTGTCCTTCATCATCTGGATCGCATGTGCTCCGGAAGGAAGTCCTGCAACGTCCTCGTCAACAATGTTTCATTTGGCTCACCCCCTTCTTGTCCCAAGAACTACAAACCCTACCTCAAGATTTACTACGATTGTCTTAGAGGTGTGCTGCATCCGATGATTTCGATTTTCCTCCACACGTCACAATACTTACAAACATTTTTTTGGTTGCAAATAACAAATTGATGAACATTTTAATGAGAATTCAAAACATAGCGCGTTGAAACACAAACTATTTGAAAAATTAATAATTTATCAAACTTATAGAAACTGAAAAGAAATAATTTTTTTTGTTCAGTGGTGACAGCTCCCGCCAACGTGAGTTGTGCTTCTTCCGGTGGTCGGAGTGTCCTCATAAATAATCAGCTACACGGATACATAGCCAGCTACGTAACGATGAGCACCAACTTGGGGTCAGCCAACTGTCCCTGGAAGATCGAGGTGCCCAAGGGACTGAAGATTAACCTGACACTCATCGACTTCACAATGCCAACGAGCGATTTGTGGAGAGAATACGCGGATGTTGTCGGTCCTGGATCTGGAAGATACGGTAACTACGATCATCGCGGTCGATATCCGTTGAATCTCGATCCGTATCACAGTCACATGTATGGAGGAGCAGGGATGAGTCGAGGGATCGGAAACGATTGCAAAAAATACGGAATTGTGTCGGATAAATCGTCTATATCAAGACTGGCGGAGAAAATTTGTGGCAAAGACGTGCGAGAAAAGCATATTCTTTTTTCAAGGAGCAATGCCATCGAGTTGAAGATCTACACGCAGGATCAAATGAATCAATTCTGGTTCCTCATCAAATTTGATGGTAATTTTTTGTCTTTCTTAATTTAATTTTCGTCAATTTGCATGTTATAAGCAAGAGATGTTTTGTTCATGTTTGAAAAAAATGTTCCATTAGTTTTATTTGAAATAGTTTTTAATTATTTTGCTCCTTCTTTGGAATTAAATTCCATTTGCTAGATGGAAACGTATTGTTGAACTTGTTCGAATAAAATTATTGCAAACTTGAATTTTATAATTTATAAAATTTTGATGATTTGAAAAAATATTTACCCTGTTTGTAAAATGCAGTCAAAATTTAAAAACAAAATTTGCATTTGCAAAAAATTGTAAAAATTCGTCGACATCTTTCATTGAATTATTTGTTTCGCATCTCATTTCTCATCCCTACACAAAGGCACTGACACACATCGCCTGTCACATACTCCATTGCGTAAGCCTATGATACGTCGTTCACACACACACACACACACACACACACACACACACACACACACACACACACACACACACACACACACACACACACACACACACACACATAACACACACATAACACACACACAACACACATATATAACACACACACATAAACACACAACCTCACATCTAACAATTCACTTATTCATGCACCTTTCCATTCATGCAGCTCCATGCATCAACACCTGCAAATGATAAACATACTATATGGGCAAACGTTGTACATACACATTACAAACACATCGCCAAGCAAACATCCTTTCTATTCATGCCTTCATGTTTTTATGCAGAATTTTGTTGAATACATACAAAACGATACAAAAACATTGGCATATAAGCTGAACGAATATTACAACATAAAAAAGCATGTAGATTCCCACTTAAAATTGAATACACACAATCGTATGTGTTTACACAGCCAAAAACTCTAGTGCTCATATCATAGAACATAAATTTACAGAGAATAAATATTTCAAGCAAGCATACATGCAAACAAACCCACACAAACAGACAAACAAATGTGCATGAATACTAAGTAAATCTCCAGTGACATACAAACATATGCCAAAGTACATGCAGACACACACACATTTTTGAAAAAAAGTACACAAGTACCAGCATCCATAACCTCTCATGCATGATTTCTCGATCGATGATATTTTTTCCTCCTTACAGCGATTGGTTGCACGGAAATCTCTCCACCCCAGCACGGTTGGATGAGGAAGGATGAGAACGAGAGGTGGTTGATGGGCTGCAATCACTCCGACCACACCTGGGCCATGAACTGCGACGACATGGAAAATGTCTGGGTTGGAAATTATGAAAACTGCTCCGCCGGTCAGTTTTTTTTTGCTTTTCTATAAAAAAATTTTTCAATTTATAAATAGAAATTATAAACATTGAAATTATAATCAATGATAGTTCATTAATAAGCCGATATAATTCTTCACCACAGAAAATTACGATTCACATTATCTTGTTTTTGGCAAGGTTGCTGTCCCATACAGTTAGAAGAATTTATTATATTTACATTATTATTAATATTATTATATAAAAATAATAATATGTAATTAATTAAAAAATATTTTTAAATAATGAATAATATTAATAAACAGCGCTAACAGTGGTCGTAACGGTCATCTTATCAGTCATCGTCGTCATCATCTTCCTTCTCATAGCACTCCTCTGTTACGAATGGTTAGTTTTTGGTTGTTTGGCTGGTTAGTTAGTTGGGTGGTTAGTTGGTTGGCTAGATGGTTGGCTGGTTGGTTAACTAGCTGGTTGGTTGGCTAGCTGGTTGGTTGGCTAGCTGGTTGGTTGGCTAGCTGGTTGGTTGGCTAGTTGGTTGGTTGGATGTTGGCTTTACTGCCAGCACTTAGTCACACGTCAATCAAATTTTATGTTTCAACTTAATTGGAAAAGTCACGCTATGATGCATAATCATAAAAGTTGACGTCATGAAGGAGAATAACGTGAAAAGTTATTAGAACTCTGAATTTGTAATAATCGGACAAATGATACCACGTGCTTTATTTGAACCAAAACTTGAATAAATAAATTAAAGAACATATTGGAATTTAATTATTAAATTTTTAAATAGTTTTTGTAATTACTATAAATAAAAATTTGCTTAAACTTGTCAGGTTCAAAGGAGGGAGACACAAGTTGCGACGAGAGTCTATGCAGGTCTCATCAACCGACCCCGTTGAAAGTCAATCCTGTTTGCAGCAGTACCACCAGCAACATCTGCAGCAACAAGATGTTCAGCAACAGCAGCAAGCGCCACAACCACAACAAACTCCACACAAACCAACACAACTAACGACACAGGCTTCCATATCAGTGACGTCATCATCTCAGTGTGCAACTAACAACCAACCCCCTCTGACACAACAACCGCAAGAAATCAAACCGAAACCAATCTTAAGAAATGCTCAAAATTATCAGCAGCAGCAGCAACAACTGCAACAACAGTACAACCAATCATTCGTTGACGCGTCTTTACTTCTCAGTACCATTGGAAGCAGTTCCGAAAACGTAGCGAGCTGCAACATTGACGAGAACATCAGCAAGTACAGCAGTCGAACGCTGCCGTCGTCAATGAAAGGCGTCAAATACTCGAGCCACACGCCACAGAGCACCCTCTCCACGGCATCAAACAACAACGATTACGTCAGAGAGATGTGGCCCATGGCTCCTCCCATTGCCAGCAAGTTGACAGGAATTGACAGACCAGACAGCCGCAACGGGACCAGCTTGTTCCAATATGGAGACTCCGTAACTTTCAATCTGCAAAGTGGTCAGACATCGGGTGGAAAAACTCTTCAACATCATCATCATCACCACCATCTCCATCATCCCCATCCTCTTCACCCACAAACGCAACAACTTCAGCAGCCTCTGATGCACCAGCAGCAACCACACCAGCCACAGCAGACTGGAACTTTGATATACGATGGTGATGACGACACTCACATTTACGAAACTCCGAAATACTTGAGACGCGAGAAAGCGGCCACTATGCGTTTGCAAGTGAAATCAGGTCAAGCGAAGACTTTGTCATTTTACGAGCCGACAACGAACAGCACCGCCCCAACAAACACGAACGTCATCACAACGGTAGCAACTGCTTCATCGATGGTCACATCATCCCAGGACTACAGAGGTTCCAAAACTCTCCCTCGCCAGGTCTTAGCGGTGTCCGCGAGTGTCAAATTATGATGGGCGGTTGTGTTCTTATTTGTAAACGTGTTTGTTGTGATTTTATGAAATATCGCTGTAGTCGTTTGTTTAGCGTTACGGCTTTTGAAAGCGTCACATTTTAATGTTTATCTTATTTTTTTTTATAAATTTGGTGAGATTTGTAGAAAACTAACACAGTTACCTAATTTAATAAGACTTGAGATTTCTGTTTAAACATTTCATCATTCAGTTATTTATCGCGCTGGTAGTCTAGTTTCGCCATGTTACACATTTCAGCGCAAAATGGTTGTTAGCATTTGATGATTCATTCACCTCACTTACCTCTGTACATTTTCACTTCTTTCCAATTTTATTTTGGTCTGCCCAGTCAGGCTTTTCAGATGATGGACATTGTCTTGCAGTTGTTCTTATTTATTGTCTCCTACCTCATTTACTTGGAAACATAGAAAAAATTTTCAAATTTTTATTTTCATAATTTTTAAATTCAACTTCAAACATAATATTTTATTAATTCCAAACTTGAAAAAACTTCCAATCCAACTTAAATGTTCCGATCGAACATACGGGATGTAGGTGAAAGCAGACAAGACTAATGTCATGCTTACCGTTTTTATTCAATGATGATATAAAAACCCGAGTTATAAAATCGAACTAGCTTCATACCCGTAACAACGTTCTCTTTATTTACATTCCAGTTAGAAACCCCAGCATTACGATGTTTCAATATCATTTCTTCTTATTTGGCTTCGTTTTTTAATTAAGCAGTTTTACGGTTGATTAAAGATACATTTGAAGAATTTTATGATCATTAAAAGTCCTAGATTTTTGTCCGCTGCTAGCTATCTCAAGTTTAATTTGTTTTCAATCATTGTTATAATACTATATACTAAATACTGTTTTATTAAGTAATATTTCAACTGTTACTACTGCTGCTAATAGAACGACAAGAGGATGCTGCATCTAAATCTAGTATTAATTCTTATAACTCTATTACATACAACAAATACTTTTATTCAAAGAAACAATGGCGAACTTGGGATTGTTTACATTTTGTCTCATACTTTTTCATACCCAGACACCTGTACATTCAGACAAAGGATCGGAAAATATCAAATAAGACATACCTCGTCATTCCTTGCTTTTATTTAAGCTGCTTCTCATGAATCACAACTTAATTATATTCCAATGGTAATATTATACTAAGAAAATTATTTTATAGAATTGTCTTACGAGATTAATTAGACGAAATATGATTATTTTTTGTTATTTTTTGTATAATCCTTGCTATTAACATCAATTCAAAGGCGCTTTGACTTAACATAACTATCTATATATTGAGATTTTTAAAAACATTTCATCGTCATCATTTCAAATGCGTTATCATCGTCATCATATTACATTTATCTAAAAGGCTATCACTTTCGTTTATCACAGGAGTGGGCAAACTACGGCCCGTGGACCGCATGCAACGGCCCGCAAAGCTATTTTATGCGGCCCTCGAGGTCTTATTCGCCAAAAAACGTCGTCAGCCTGACATAAGAACCAAAAAAATCATAAGAACCAAAAAAGTAATAGCTACAAATTTTTGAAATTTTATTTGCTATTTAAGTACATATGCGGCCCTTCAAAGGTAAAATAATTCTCAATGCGGCCCTCACAGCAAAAAGTTTACCAACTCCTGGTTTATCGTGATTAGGTTTTACTCAATATACGATTACATAAAGTGGGTTGTCACAATATTTATAATCTATAATATTATTTTATTATTATTATATTATTAACCGTAATTAATAATTATCATCTAAATCGTCTTATTAATCATTAGAGATTAGATCGTAGTGTCAATATTTATAAATGAGTTATACACTCAAAATTTTATATCGATCAATTACATCTTACTACCTCTAACTATTATGTGATTCAAGTTGAACATTGAAGTATTTTAATCTTTGGGCTATATTTTTTATGTACCACAATTTTTCATCCAATTTCTCATCTACTTTCTTCCCCATCTTCGTCATAATCATCGTCATCTTCATCGTCACCATTATTTTATGATCATAGAGACCATCATTTGGCAACAGCACTGTTTCTGCAGTTACCAAAAATCAATCGCTAGCATGAAGTTCGGTGTCGTGTCTACACTATCATCATCACCATCCTCCTTCTCCTTGTCATCATCATCAAAAACAACAACATCATCATCAAAAACAACAACATCATCATCAAAAACAACAACATCATCATCAAAAACAACAACATCATTATCAATACCACCAGCTCCGGCCAACAAAATATTGGCGATGTCATCATTCTTCAATAAACATACTCAGGAAGCTTATAAGCCCAGGCCTATACATGTTACATACAATATGTACTATATATATATATATATATATATATATATATATATATATATACATGCTGTTTAGATACGGATCAATGGTAATTTGTTGTACTGTGAAAAACGCGTCTGAGTTTGCATGCATATCTTAGTTTGTGTATCTGCTTTAGAAAGTGTCTAAATGAATGAACGAGCGAATGAAAGAGTATATGAATGAGTAAAATAGATGTATTAAGATTTGACGATGAGGTCAATTGCACGAAAAACAATGCAGCAATGAACGTCGACATAGGATGACGTAATGTGATAAAATATTTTACATCCGATTTGAAAATTCGATTTAACTCTCACACTAATAATAACGGTTGTATTGTTCCATTTTTTTTAAAATATGTTTTTTATCATAAAATCAGTATCTGACAGACACGGTTTACCTAAGTATTTTATTTTATGAGTTTTATTTTATGAATTTTATTTGCTCGGCAAAAATTGTTGCACTGCTTCAGTGTCAAAGTCTTGCTGCCGCTGTTAAATCGTGATTCAATCTAACATTGAGGAGAGATTAGCGTGGGAATTTTGAATGATTGCGAAATCTCCTCATTAGGAATTGTAATTGGATACATCTGAAAGCACTCATGCGCGTCATTGAATCGTACGCTTGGTGCCAGAAATAATTTTATCCAAGGCTGAATGACTGTCTTATTAATTAATTTATTAATCTTTCTTCTTCTATTTGCTGCTTTTTTTCTGTGGTTATTGATGCAAAATGTGTTGTTGTTACTGTTGTTGTTACTGTTATTGTTGTTACTGTTATTGTTGTTACTGTTGTTGTTGTTGTTGTTAATGTAATTAGTCAATGATGTTATTTAATGCTAATGCCCTAAAATGTTGATGTTATTTTTAGTCATGTGTGTTGTTGTTAGATCGCATCAGCTTCAATTGAGGCTGTTGTGATCGATGTCTAATATGTGTGTAGTAGGAGCTGCTAGAAAGAAACAACATGTGATACACCAGGAGTTTGTGTTTCGCTGTTTCTTGTGTGTGATGCTGCTGTTAAACAATATATACATCTGTGTTTGTTTGTTTGTGTATGTTTATACATGCATACGTGCGTGTGTTCGCATGTGCATGCATGTATGCTAGTGTGTGTGTGTGTGTGTGTGTGTGTGTGTGTGTGTGTGTGTGTGTGTGTGTGTGTGTGTGTGTGTGTATGCATGTATGTGTGAATGTATGTATAACACGTATGTATGTATGTACGTATATGTATTTATACAGTATTGTACGAATTTTACCGAATTGTTAATATAAATCAACTTAAAGTTTGTTTTTTCAATTTTACTTACTAAAATTTTCAAGAAACTGTTTTCTGGAAATTGAAAATTTTTGAACAATTTTCAAAAAATTCCGGTAAGGAAAATTGAAAAGACAAACTTTAAATTTTTTAACGCCAACAACTCATGTACGTTACATACTAAATGGCGTACACTCATATGTACACAAAAATTAAGTTTGTACGTAACAGGATGTGCGACAGCGTACAGAACATGTAGCCTACTCAGCAGTGCTAATATGTCATATTTTTAATACACTTGCCATTGGATGAAGATGCGTTCAACTAACTTCATTACCTGTCAGTGTATCGAATTTTTTTGTAGAAATCTGAAATTTAGAGTGCGAAATAAAGAGCGCTAACATAATAAGTTTCGAATTATTTTTCTGTTCTTCATGTTTCGTACAGTTGATGGTGATTCCACGTACAGTTATTCGTTTGAATATCGTTAAACTCTTTTAATACGTACAACGTGTTAGTGTTTTGGAATGAGTTTACACCACACACACACACACGCACACACACGCACATCACACGTATATATATCATTTAATTATTTCTATACAGTGCGTGTAAGTGTGTTTCGTGTATATTTATAATAATGTACGTCAGTCGGTTTGTTTGTAGCGTTAGAATTAATACCAACCAGCAAACAATTCTACCATTGTAAATATTAATAAATAATACTTATGTAAATCAGAATATAGGAAGTAATTTTTTTTTTCACACGTAAATAAAGGTTTTCAAATGTTTTCGGGCGATGAATCATAGTAGTAAATACTCATCCGTCATGCAATAATGATTGGAGATTGGTGTTTGTAATAAATTAGAAAAACACAGCGAATCAATATCTAAATCGTTTTTTGTAATATTTAACAATTGAAATTGAAATCAAACCTAAGCAGTGGAGAAGCATTTTCGATTGAAAAGAATTATAATTCATGAAAACGTAAATATAGAAATAAAAAAAAATGAAAAAAAATGAAATTAATAATCTTTCGGGTTCTGACAGAGACATACGGCGAATATGATCCCAAAAAGCTGAAATTTTTTAAATTACGTGAATTTAAAAAATTGATTTGATTAACTTTTGCTAAAAAAATAACATCAAACCCATATTTTCTCCCATTTTTTTCGATATTTGCAATTTTAAGCTTTCCATATAAAAAGATATTAGAAGCTGTTTAGTTTTGTTAAAGTTTAGTTTTACATTATTCCAAGCTTCATATTAAAGAATACTTTATGTTAAGCAACATTTTATATTAAATAACAATTTATAATAGGAAATATTTTATTTACATATATTTATATGGAAAGCTCTATTACCAAATTAAACCCATTTTAGATTGCACATACAATTACACAATTATTATTTTTCTGACTATATACTGACTGTTTTCTGCTTTGAGATCCACACATTATGTTTTGAATCATTGATAAATTACTCAGTAGGCTGGTTTTTCACAAATCAATTGTTCATGTAAGTGATAATAATCTGTACAATCTTACCTCTAGGAATCCAAATCCTAGGCCAATGCCGATGATGACTGGTGCGTAACGCTCGATGAATGATATCAACTTCGCTGTACATCCCTGAGTTGTCGTTAAAATTTCATTTTGTTTCATAGTATATAACTTGGTGGCCATTATTTCATTTTTGTTTAAATATTTTAGCTAACTAATTTGCGTGAATGGTGAAATGTTTAATAATGTTTTAGTTGTTTTAGTATCTTCTATTTATGTGAGACATAACAACAAAACATGTATTAACATTTGTACAAAAGTTTATAACTGGAATGAAGCAAGTGCGAGATCAAAAAGACGTTTAGGTTTAATTACTATTTTTAGCAGATAACTAAAAAATAAATTACACTGAAGGGATTTACACCGCGTTGGTCAGGCGTTAACAATTATTATTCTACACATCCTATACAACAAGGTGGACGTACTTTTCCATAGTAGCCAGTCGTGCAGTTGACTCTTGTGGTCAGTGCGTAGATATCTGAATAAACGTCCAGTGGCGTCTGTTGTGGCCTCGGCAGACAGCAACTGACCGGCACGCTTTCCGAGTAACCCGCTGTGTCGTTGATGCCGCACTACAAATTTTCAGTTTATTTCGTATTTTATATCTACCAAAGTATTTGGATAATTTTACTAAAATAGTTTTTTTTAAATAATTAATCTGATTTTAAGTTGAAACTATTGAATTCAATAATTTTCTAATAGCTGTGAAAAGATCAAATGATTTTTGTTGTTAAAAAAGTTGAGTGACTAACAGTGTACGTGGTGTTGAACTGGAAGACGTCTTTGTAGTCCTGATAGCTGTCCATGCCGCAACATTCGAACTTTTGATTTTTTTATTGGTTTTAAAGTTTATTTTTATAAAAAAACTTTTCCAAAAATAAACTAATTATTACGTGTCAACATTATATTTAATAATTAAATTTTATAAAAAGATATTCTTTCATAATAAGTAAAAAAAGAAATAGTATAAATACCTTAATTTGTAAATAGTCGACAAGTTTGGGCCACTCGCCGACCCAGCACTTGCCGCTGGTGACGCTGTAGTATGTAAAGTTGGTAGCGAACGCCTGTTCAACGAGTAGCTGCCCAATCGAAGTTTGAACTTGTTCTATAGCCTGTTTTGTTATTAACGGTTTCAAATTTTAATTTCTTGTTTTGGTATGTAAATTATCAGCCAAATGTTTTTAAGAGAAATATATTGAATTATTTCAAAAGACCTACTTTGTCTTTGAAGACGATGGCCACTACTCCGCCTGCGATTTCTCCGCAGCAGACGAAACACAAGAGGCCGATGTACTGGAGGTAGTAGTGAATTGTTATAAAATTGTATTTCACATTTCAAGTTTCAAAAACTTGTTTATTTGTGTAAATTTTTTAAATTTATCAAAAACTTATTCAAAATATTCATTTTGAATTGAAATATACAATAAACGAAATGGTCAATCGTTGGCAGTTTAAAGCGCAGAGATTCGGAAAATTGTTATCACTCGACTGACCACAGAGAGAGCAATGACATTTTCTTTGATAGCGGCAAAGATTCCAAGGCCGGTGACGAGAAGGACGACGACACCCATGGTGATGAGAAGGATGGAAGCGTTCCTCAAAAACCTAGCACCAAACGCATCTCTGAAAATTTTTATCGGTTCTATGATGTTCGGGTCTGCGATTATCCATATGCCAACTGCTATCAACACCACGCCGGCACACTGCGAGTGAATGGGTTACATTTATGTTGGGAATTTGAAATAAATAAACTATTGCAAAATATTGATTTCGGTTTCTATACTTTTCTGTAAACGTCAAGTGAGAAATACTAACAAAGAATATGATGTTGAAAATGATTAGAACAATCTTGGCAAAGTTAGCACCGCATGTTGCTGCCATCTTCGCAAACCTGATGTCCTGACTTCTTCACTGTACGAACAAACAAGCAACAAATTGATCAATTATTAACTCAATGCGGTAATCAAATATTTAAAATCTATTTTCTCTTAAGTTCACAGATAAATAGATTTAAAAAAAATTAGAAAAATAGACTAAAGATAAATTTAGAGGTTTACATAACATTACATTACATCCATTTTCGGTGTCCTCAAATTTTATTTTAATATTCGTTGTTAGTTTATTTAGCAGGTCAATATATTTTCAAATAAAACTTAGACTTAATTTTTTAATAATTCTCAAACACATACGAATTAAAATATCCCGGAATATAGCCTGCTCAAGTTCCATTTTTTGAAAATATGACCTCACAATATCCAGTGAAAAAATCAAAAAATTTCTTTCCACACGATTAAAAAATCTACCATTCTCTCGGATTGTTGATCAAGCGTCATAAAATTTTTTCATTTTAAAATTTATTTGAATTAAATATTTGTCAACGCAATCAAATAAAACCAAATAAAATATTTATTAACATTTACAAATTTCTTAATATTATACAATAAAACCATATTAACATAAAATAAAAAAATGTGTTTTTCTATTTTAAATCGTATATAAATAGATTCAAACCACCCACCTTATTTAGAGCTGACTGTATTTAAAGTCTAGACTATTTTTGTTGAACAAAGTAATATAAAATGATTTTTATTTAGTGTTAAATATCTTTTAAAGTTAAATTCTTTCAAAAATTAGAATAAAAATAAACTTTAAATTGAAAACTTTCAAAATATCTCATGAACATTACAGAAAGGTGTTGCCGTATTTGTGTGACGCATATGTTAAACTTTTCTATAATATAATTATATTATAATAATATTTATTGACGTTGCTTCGCTGATCAATAAACATAGTATAACAATAGAGTCTACATACAACTGTACTGCAAACAATATAAAGTATACAATTAACACACATATACACACATCTTTAGGAAGTTTTATACATTCACACTTAGACTCATATAGGCACACATATGCACGTTCGTGTACACACAACACACATCCACTCATCGATCTAGTTTATGCATTCGAAATAATAATTTAATAATAATAAAATATTCTTAATAATAATATTTATAGTAAAAACATTAATAATAGTAATAATAAATATTATTATTACAATATTAATAATTTTTATTTAATTTGCTAGTTTGCAAATTATTCCCAAAATTTGAACATCATATCGATGTTTGATTAGCATTTATTGAAAAATTCTAATTGTGCATCTTTAGTTATGCTTTAATCTAATTAATCTATCGAAGAGTAATCTGATTTGTAAAAGATGATGATGAACATTGTCGCACCTTACAATTACAACTATCAAGCAACACAGCACGAACTCAATGCAAACATAGTCACGCATCATTTCTTCTCACGAACGTAAGAAAGATTCGAGAGCAGACATTTACACACATCCAAATAAAAACGCATGAGATGATTAAATGTTATCTACCAGCCCCAATCAACCGCACTTAAACTGTTGACAATCCCACGCTTTCATACTTTGTTAGCCATACACAGAACATTGAATAATCAACATTACTCTCCAATACTCAACATCATCACACACAGAAACCAGCATCTCACATACATTTGACAGCATCACCGCATCTGTTAACATCACGTTCATTCACGAGCATACAAACGAGTTGGAAATTTAAACAGTTATAATAACAGTGATGGGTTGTTATTGTTTCAAACGGCCAATGACCATTCATTAACAATTTATTGCATATCTATTTGAAAAAAATTATAAATAGAACGTTAATTAAACATGTGTAATGTTAGCTCATGCTAACAGCTTGACAATGCAATGTGTATAAAAAGCTCTGTCAGCTAGCTAACGTTGAAAGACAACATTTTTTGAAATAGGAGGTTACAGTGACGCACAAACCAAGATTGCAATCGTGCAATTAATTCATTAGCGGCGTTGTTGACGGCTGACGAGGTTCACGATCTCTTAATCACTCAAATTATTCACTCAAATTATTTCGGTATGTCTGTGATTAACGTCATATTTCTACTTGGTGGTATACTTTTGTTTTAAAACTTCGTTGAATGCACTCTAATTTGTTCGAGTTATGTTTACCAAAATGTTTCTTCGTACTTTTTCTTATATCTTAAAAATGTACTTCCACTACACTGCTTTCGCTAATTACAGTTCGAATCATAACATTCCTAGCTGTTATTCATATTTGACAGGCTGCTTTATAACCTAATAAAAATATTGGAGTCGATAACTTTGTTTCAATCATCAATTTTTCTTGAATAGACCTTTGATCTGTTATAAACATTTTGTTTTCAGCAGAAGGACTAAGTCATATTTTGTTCCCATTAAATTGATTACAAATTAATAACTAACAAAGAACGCATTTAATAAACAATAACATGTTAGGTTATCAGAAGATTGATATCTATTAGTAATCTAGCATGTATATGCTCATAATTCTACAATTAAAAAATAAAAGATATATTAAACTTGATTAACTAACCCAGTTCTAATCAATATTTTAAACTCTCCCCATAAATCTTTATAGAGGGGTCGAGATGGGTAGCCAAATACACCCATCCTAATAACATCCTCATTTTTGCCGGACTATCTGGATGGGGCAAGCAACTTATGAAGAGATTTTTCTGGTAAAACCATAAGCTCAGGCTTCTTTGTTAGTTCTTTTTCTAACACCTGTAATAAAAAAATCTTGATTAGTAATTGTTGTAATTGGAAGATCACCTTAATAACTTAAATAATTTTTACTAAGATTAAATTTAATATGATGTCAAAATGTTATCTAATTCTATTTAAAATTTATATTCTGTTTCTAGTTATATTAATTATTAAATTAAAATTATACAAGTGAAAAAAAAAATAAAAAAAAGAAAACAATGTATTTATTCATTCATTCGTTCGTTCGTTCGTTCGTTCATTCGTTCATTCGTTCATTCGTTCGTTCGTTCGTTCGTTCATTCATTCATTCAAATGTATGTACGCACCGGCTTTCGGTGAAACTTATGTACGTCGTCCTTGCCGTACATTCAATTAATAATAACAATTTATATTATTCTTTATTGTTATTATAAACATTTTGATGATGATCGAAAATAGTGAATCATGTTCTTTTTTGTTATTGTTTAGATGATGAAGATTATGAATCTAAGTCTTTTTTTTTATTATTATTTTTATTATCTTATGATGATGATAAGGAGAATGATTAGCGTCCTAGGGTGAAAAATGCCATAAAAAGCATTAATTACATCTAAGTCATTTAATTTTGTTTTTTTTTCTTCTTCTTTTTCTTATTGTGATGATGATGAAAATACTGGTTAGCAAGGCTCGTTAAAATTGCTATAAAACAAGTTGATCTGAGTCAAGTTTTTATGTTTTAAATGTAGAGATACTCTATCAAGATTGTTTTGGATACTTTGCTACAAGCATACACTTAAATATAGAAATACTGTATCAAGATTGTTTTGGATACTTTGCTACTAGCATACATTTAAATGTAGAGATACTGTATCAAGATTGTTGCGGATGACTGATGGGGATGTAAGATTATTTTTATCAACCGTCTTATTAGGACAGTTCTCTACGCAAGATGATGGTGAGGATGACGATGATGAAGATGTTGGTGATGACGATGAAGGTGTTGGTGATGATGTTGATGATGAGGCTGATTGTAGTAGTATTATTTGCAAGAATCAATGTATTTCGTTGTTCATTCTTCAAATTTGTTTAATCATTTTCGTATAAAAATACCTTCTCATAAAAGTTATTGACAAAACCTGTTGTAAGACATTTGAATAAATGTTGTAAGACAATCGAAATAGATTTTATTTTGCTAAACTTTCAAATTATAAAACTACTTAATTATTATAATGAGTTATTTACAATTAAAAAAAAACATTTTAAACATTAGATGAATAAATTAGAAAGTAAAGCAGATACATTTTTTCAACAAATAAATCAAATCCACGTTAAACTAAGAAAAAATCATTTTTCAAAATCATCAAATAATATTAAAGTATATCTAAATTTATAAATTGTTGTTAATTTTGCTACTCAAAAAAAAACCTAAAATTATTTGAAAGAATTTCGTATGGAGAATAGCATAAACCCAAAGTACTGAACTAATAGTAAGTTAAATTGTACGATTTAATTATTATAACGAAAAGAATTTTATAAAAAAAATTATCACTAAAAAACGTTAAAAAACCATTATTGTTACATTAAAGAACTAAATTTTATCAAATAAAATGAGAAAAAATTGCACGAAAATTCAAACGAAACGAAAAATTAACAGATATTAATCACGATACAGTATAAAAATTCAACGTAGTAACTTGTAAAATGTTCATCCAGACACAAAAAACCAGCGCTGGTGGGATGATATATATCATTTCATTCATTCATTCATTCATTCATTCGTTCGTTCGTTCGTTCGTTCGTTCGTTCGTTCGTTCATTCATTCATTCATTCATTCGTATGATAAGTGAGTTACTCGCATTTCAAGATTCATGATGATCCAATTAGTTATCCATTTCGACAGATATGCTTAAAACATTAAAAAATGTTAACATTATAAGATTTTATATATATATATATATATATATATATATATATATATATATATATATATATATATATATATATATATATGAACAAACACATCAGTATTACAAATTCTAAGTTTATTTCTTCAATAATAAGTAATCTACGATTTTTTTTATTATTTTTTCATTTTTAATTACAAAATATCCTTCTATTAAACTTTGAAATGTCAAATTTCGAAGTTATGCTGAGAACTTGGCAGTAAAATAATTGATAGATTCGTGCACGAACTTAAAAAAATTCAGACATAAAATAATTTTTAAATTAAAATAAATTTGAAACTGATTTCTGTGTAAAACTTGAAAAAATTCTGAGTAATGAAATTTTTGAGAAAATGAAGTTGGTTAGATTCAACTAAAAATTGAAAAAACACTTGACGTATGAAAATTTCAATAATAGTTGTTCAACAACGATATATTTTGAAAGTTATGTTGTTCATTTCAATTTCACCAGAAGTTTTGGTGGCGTCAGTACGAAAGAAATCTGCAAACAACAAAATAGTTACTTGGAAGTTTAAAACTGATAATCTTAAATATGAAAATAAATTCGGGCAAAATGTTTCGTTAAAAATCGATGAAACTAAACGTTTTAATTAATATGAAAAAATTGAACTTAAAAAAATTGAATGAAAAAAATCTAAAAAATTGAGAAAATGATCTTGAAAAGCAGAAAATAAACAATTTTAAATTATAAATCAATCATGTGAAGAATTTGTGAATGAAAATCGCAGATAAATTAATCATAGAATTGATTAAAATTTCACTAATTAACTTTAAAACTAATCGCTTAAAAAAATTAATTAAAATATCACAATGAAAATGAATTAAGAAAACAAACAATTCTGAGAGGTGAACATTTTTCAGTTTGAAATCGTATAAATTGACATTTTGATGATGAAAAATGAAATGAATTGAATAGAAAGGATAAAGTGACATCATTAAATAAATATAAAACCAATTAAGATAAAATTGAATTTACGGTTTCTAATACCTGTAGATTAATTCTTGAAAAAATCTCAAACTTATCTTAGATTATGGCGCTTAATGGATGAATAATTTCAAAGAACTAAAAGCGCTTGAATCAATGTTCATAAAATTGTAACTCTGACAAAACAAAAATTCATCATTTTCAATAGATAATTCAACAATTTCAAATGACTATTTCAAATTCACTCACAAAAACTTCGTAAGACCTTTTATCCTAACTTAAGTGTTATAAAAATTCCTTTCAATTAAATCCAACCATACTACTATATGAAATTTTCTAAAAGTTAATTCAGCTTCTAAAGGGCCTATTTATTCAAACAAGACCTCAAAAAACTTTATTACTAACCAGCCATTCATTCACACACGTAAAGATCTTACGTTGAAATTTAGTTTGGTTTAAATAATGCTGATGATGCAACAAAGCCTGCAGACTACCATGTGAACGGTGTCACATAGTTCGTAAATCAACGTCGCTGTAATTTGTATCTAAAAAAAATTGAAGAGTATGCAAGAATATTTCAGAATGTGCAAAAGTATTCACGAGTATCAAAGAGTATCAAAGAGTATCAAAAGAGTATCAATTTATTTTGTGGTCTGAAAAAATTTAAGTAAAAATTAAAATATTAGATTTTATTTTACTTGCGGAGAGCCAGCAAGATAGGATAAGTAGTATGGTAGTATGGAGTAGGTGGTGTGTTGAATGATCTGGAGAATGAAATGGATGATGGATTGGCTGTTTATGTTATCATGAATAGACTCCCATACTCAAATTTTAAAAAATCACAATAAAAATTTCATTTTTTTTATAAAAAAAATATTAGTTAAGCTGAATGTTGGAAGTTTGAAATCAATAGTCATAATTTTAAAGAATGAAATTAACTTAATCTGGGGGCACGTTAAAGAGAGTATTAAACAGAAACTTTTTTCCTGGTTTCTTGACAAGAGAATAAAATAATAATTGAACCATGTACGTGATGCGAAATTGTGAAATGATTACATGAACATGAACAACGATGAAATGATTGCGTTTCTAGGAATAACATTTCCGAACGGCACTCACAATCGACAAAGACAAACAAAAAACACATCAGCGAAAACTTTGATAACATGTAGTGCATCCAGCATGTTAGCCATAATCAAATGCACATTTATGAGTATCGAGACGGACGTTCATCAGTTATTAAATGATGAAAGATGAAGCCTTGTTCGATGTTCTCCTAAACAATCATTTGTTGCGGCTGTTGTGGTTGTAGTGACTGTTGTTGTTGTTGATTGATGTCGTTGTTATCAATAAATTGCTTTTGTTTGCGTTTTCGCAGTATTGTCAACATTCTGTTGTTGGCAGTTTGTTGCTTGTGTTGTTGATTATACGACAAGCGCTGATATGCGAACCGTAAATACAACAACATTAAAACAACAACAACAACAGCAGCGGTAACAACAACAGCCACAACAACATAAAAAAACAACAAAAAAACAAAAACGACGACATTTTTAAAGAGACAACGCATATTAGTAGCTACATTATTTCACAAGATACATCAAATTAGCCTGTAATGCTAGGTAACCGCAATAAATAAAGTGAAATACCATCATCCGATTGTAAGCACGCACTCTCTTTTGTTAAGTTTTCCCCCATGTTTTATAAGTCTATTCGGCAGTTGTTGTTTTGCTCGTGATTAGCAGTATTTAAATTTATTGAAATTTCAAACTACCTACCCAACATTTACGACAGAATCCTAAACAAATCAAATTATACAAACATATAAACAAATATACAAACATTAAAATCATACGGACAAACAAACATACAAACATGCAGACAAACAAACGAACAAATAAACAAACGAAATAAAATACGGCAGCCATATAGAGATCATTAATTGATTGCATCGATACGGTACTAATTGACAATGTAAAATATACATAACTAAAAGTCTAACAAACTTATTGGAAATATATTATTGACATTGTTAACTAAAGATGCCAGTAAATATTCTCAATATCATACAGATACTGATTAAATTTGACCTAAAAAGACAAAATCATTCTGATTTTAATTAGTTTTAATATAATGTCTAACAATGAATTTTTTGTTAGAAACATTTCAATTTAACTTAGAAAGTTTTTTCAAAAAAAAATTTTGTGATTTTAAATGAACAGAGGTTACGATATAGTTAGAAAAAAGGCAATTAATTAAAAACTGAAATCACTAAAAATTTTTGAAAACAATCGTGTATGTAGAAATGTAAGAAAAATTTCAATTTAGGTGTTATTCTAAATTAGGAACAATTTATTTTTTAAAACTGCCATCAGGTTGTTGTTAAAGTTTCAACATCACCATCGTCATCATCATCATCATCATCATCATCATCATCATCATCATCATCATCATCATCTTCATCATCTCTTCGTTGTCGTCATCACCATCTTCAGCATAGACATTCTACTCCATCAACATTACCTCTGTCATCATCATTAAGTCCCACCCGCTTAATAAATCACATCAAATTACATTACATTCTATAGCTACGACATCACATCATCACATTCATCACGTCACATGCATCACATCATCACATTCATCACGTCACATACATCGCCATCACGTACATAACATTCATCACTCACGTTAGCATGTTCTAGGCGATATATTGCACTATAAAACAGCATGTTTCAGATCATATTATCGGTTTAATCTTCTGTATCAAATAATAAATCTAATATATTATATGTATATCATTTTAATCAACCAATTTAATAGAAATTTTTCAATTGACTTGAAAGTAAAAACATCAAACTAGCCTTACATCACATTAAGACTATCACAAAACGTCATGGCATCACATAAAAATTCATTACATTAACACAACCTCATATGCATATGGTGATGTTAAATCTCAATTTCAACATTTGTTTGTGAAGATAGGTTACAAAAAATCATTCTCAATTCAAAATTCATCAAACTCTACAAATTTCATGCGTCAAACATATCATCTTTAAAGCAAGTGATTTCCACTACGTAACTTTTAATTGATATCAAATTAATTTTCCTAATCACTTCACGTGATTTCAATGTCACAATGCTTATTACCGTATCGTACATCAAATCAAATCACATGCAGTGTTGTTAAGTTTTTAGAGTATTCAAATACTTAAATAGCATTTAAACACTTACTCCAGTATTTTGGAGGTGCTTAAAAAACTTAACAAAAAACAGTATTTGTATTGTATTTATTTATTTTTGCGTGGTAATAGGAATTTAAAAAATTTAATTGCTTTGTCATAAAAATTTGTTTAATCAATCAGCTAATTTGCTCTTTAGAGTTTACAAACACTATTGGTGAATTCTAGTATTAATGTCCTTTCTTATTTCTAATGCAAACATTTACGAAACTTATTGCAATGTAATGATGGTGTATAAGAAATAATAAAAATTTGGTAATTAATGATTCTTATTTAGCATCAAGTGAAAACTGCATGGTATTTAAAATATTTTCTAAATACTTGTGGCCAGCATTTAAATACATGTAGCAACATTTTGGTATCTAAATACTGAATTTCTACTAAGTATTTGCAAACATTTAAGTGATTTAACAACACTGATTGTTACATCACATAACATTATGTCGTATCGCAATTACGCATCACGTATCTATTCAAATGACGTCACCCTTATAACATCACCTTATATTCCATCCCATCACATTCACATTCACATATGGCAATAAAACAAACAAAACCACGTGACCTCTTATCAAAACTACATCCGGTGACTTTCTTATCACAACAAAATCACACGTCCAACAAATCTCATAGGAAGACAACCGGCGTCTACGTCATAGCAGATCAGATGACGTCATCCAGCAGACGAACATGGCTTCCGCTGCAACTCATCTCACGGCATTCAACGTCAGGCGACAGCACAAAACATTCATTATCGTGAGTTGTGGCGGTCGTCATCGGCTTCGCAGATGAGATTAACGCTGTTGTTGATGTTGTTGGCTTTGTTGTTGATGAGAGTGATGTTGTTGCTGATGTTATTGGCTTTGTTGTTAATGCGATTGGTGTTGTTGTTATTGTTGGCTTTGTTAATGTTGTTGTTGTTGTTGTTGTTGATAATGCTGTTGCTCCAGTTGACAGCGATGCAGTTGTTGCGAATGTACTGTGAGATGTTACTGCTGATATTGCTGTTGTGTGTACTGCTAGCGAGGTACGAATTGATGTCAAATTTGATGTGGACGTTGCTGATGTTGCTGATGTTGTTGCTGTTATTGTTGTTGATGTTGCTGGTGTTGTTGTGGTTGTTGTGGTTACTGTGGTTGCTGCTGCTGCTGCTGCTAACGAACGCGATGTTGCTAATGGTGACGTTGATGTATTATAAGGATCTAATCTAATATTAAGATTTACTGGTAGATTTGCGGTTGTCCATGACGATGATGATGATGATGGCGATGACGATGATAATGACGTCAATTGTGGCGCTAATTTAGTTGCTGTAATGATAGAACTATCTAATTTTAGTGTTGTTGTTGTTGATGATGATGGTATTTTTGATGTGTTTGATAGCATTAATGATGATGATGTCATTATAGGTGCTGTTGTTGATGATGATGATGAGGTATTGAGAGGAAGTGTTGTTGCAGACGTTGTTGTTGTCTGATTGTTCTGTGGATTTCTTAGCAAGTTAGATGCAAAATTTTCACCGAATTGGTTGGTGTTGTTGTTTGTTGAGGTGAGAGTATTAGTTCGGGTGATTGTAACACATGTAGATGACGTGATTGTTGAAAAAGTTGGTTTTGTTGAATTCGTTGAAAATGTTGGATTTCTTGGTAATGATGATGGAGATGTAATCAGTTCAGTCGACAGTAACAAAGGAGGTGATGTTGGCTTCGATGTTGTTGACGTTGTTGCTGCTGTTGTTGACGATGTTGTCCTTAATGATATCGATGATTGTGATGCAGTTGAAGTTGATGTTGTTGTTGGCATATTCACTGAGTCAGATAACCTTATTGCTTCTGTTGGGAAATGTTGGTTGGCGAGTGTTGTCGAAATGTTGGCGTTGTTGTTGGTATTATTAGCGTTGGTATGATTATTGTTAGCGTTTTTGTCTGCAATGTTTATCAACTCGTTGAAATCATCCAGTGGGTTGCCAATATCAAATCCTAAATTAAGCATAGAATCTACTTGATCATATGCAGCTATGTTATTGCTTTCTTGCTGAACTTCATGTGAACTGATGTTGCATAGTTGTTGTTGTTGTTGTTGCTGTTGTTGTTGCTGCAGTTGTTGCTCTTTTTGTTCGTTTTTAACTGAATCTTTTTCGCCACTTTGCTCAGCTTCTAATTTCTGTTGACGTTGAAGTTTTGCATTTTGTTGCTGGTTGGCGTTAAGTTGTGGCACCGGTAATTGTATATTTTGTTGTTGTGGATGTTGATGTGGATGTTGCGGATGGTGTACAACAACATCAACAACAATGTGGTTGTTGTTGGCATTGTTAGAACTACTGAATATTTTTTTATTTCTGAAATTATTTGTTCGAAATTTTTCTTCATTACATGTCAAGTTAACGCTTTCCAACTTGTTAAAATTGTTTCTGTTATTAAAATCAACATCATGTTCACAATGAATATCTGCTTCAACATCATCATCAGCAGCGGCGGCAACATCAATAACTTGCCCGTCATCATCATCATCATCATCATCTTCGATTTCTTCAATCGAAATATTAGTTCTTCGTTTGAATTTTGGGTAGCAGTCATCAGCGTCATCGTCATCATCGTCGTCCTCATCATTTTCGTCAATGTCGCTCCCATTTTTATTTTCAAACGAGACGAAAAAATTTTTTTCGGCGATTGTTTCAAACGTTGGTCGTTTTTGCTTGCGTAGGAAGAGGTTGTTGAATGTGCCGCTTTCTTTCAATTTGCTCTTTTTCTTGCTGTTGTTGTTCGTCGTTGCGGATGTTTTGCCGTTGTTACTTTTGTCGCTGTTGTTATTTTTGTTATCATTTTTCTTTTTACACTTGAAGAGAGAATGTCTTTTAGATGCAGGAGGTGCTAAGGAGGGGTAGGAGGAGGAGAAGGAGTCAATATATTGACTGCTTTCGTTGGACGGTAGTTTATGCGACGCTTCACGTTCTCGCGCATTTTGTTGTGGTTGTGGTTGCTGCTGCTGCTGCTGTTGTTGTAAGGGTAGCAGCAACGGTTGCTGAATAGGTTGCAGCGTGTTGCACTTTTGTTGAGGACACTGCTGGTTCTGTGGATAATCCAAAAGCTGGTTCTCCAGTAGAGTGAATGAAGTTTCGTCGTGTGTCAAGGGCATCCGACTGCTGCTGCGGTGGTGGTGGGGGCAGGCGTTCCCCACGCTGAGTCCCCCACTCGATGACGACATCAACATCGTCATGCTCACCGATAACTTGGCCACCGATGACAACGCGTCCAATGTTGTTGTCACGTGACACGGATCTGGTGTGTTGTGTTGTTGTTATTGTGGCTGTGTTGTTGTTGTTGTTGTGTTGTTGTTGTTGTTTGTTTGGGAAAACCATGATATTAAATTATATTTTCAAAGAATATATTCAATTTGTGTGCACAATTTTTTCAACAATTTAAAACTTTACATAAAGTTTATTTTCTATTAGTTGCATAACAAAGAACATGAAGATGAACATAGAAGCATTCGTTTATCAAAATCAGTTTCAACCTATCAAACTCATAAATAAATGCCAGAAAATGCCATTAAGTTTATCTAGAGATGTCAAAATGATTGATATATTTTTACGTAATTGCATCGTTGGTTCTTGTTCACTGCACGTTCTTCCCATCTCCAAACAGTTTTTTAAGTAATATGGTTGGATGATTCTTTTTATTTCTTTATTAATTGACCATCTCATTGATTAATTAAATAAATAATTGATTAATTAACTACCTGATCTATGAAATAAAATTGTTAAAAAAATGTTTCCAAGTTGAAAAAACTCAAATTCAAAAAAGATAAAAAAATTAACCACTTTAAAAGGTTGAAACTAACGTTTCGGCGTGCAGGCTAGAATATCTGAATCAGGTATGCCTGCCTTAGCACACAACTCTTTCAAGGCGTCTATCTGCTTCTGATGGTGAAGATGATGAAGAAGAAGAAGAAGAAGATGATGATGAAGATGATGATAAAGATGATGATGAGGAAGAAGAAGATGATGATGATGAAGATGATGATAAAGAAGAAGATGATGAAGATTGTAAGGATGATGACGAAGATGATGGTGAAAATGATGATGTGGAAGAAGAAGATGAAGATGGCAAAAATGATGTTAAAGATGATGATGAAGTTGACGAAGATGATATAAAAAAAAGAATAATTAATGCCATTACATAATGATGAAACCATCTATTACATAAAAATGTCACAAATTTGTTCAATTTTTTTTAACAGTTTCTTTTACTT